ATGGGTAGGGGTCTGCAAATAACGCATTTCCATTCGGCGTATTTTAATTTGGATTTCTTTTCCTGCCTTATTCTCTTCTTGTTAATCAACGTGTTTACAGGTAATTAAGGAAATTCGCGCCTTCCTTTAATTGCAAACGACAGGCACGGACATTACGTCTTAAATGCTTGCTTTGATTAAAAAAAAAATCACATTTTCCTTCTACCTTCCTTTCTTTATTTATTTCTTTTTCTACAATTTTTCTTTCTTTTCTTTCGTCGTTACTTTTCTTTCTTTCTTTTTTTTTTGCTTCTTTATTTCCTCCCTTCTTTGCGTTTTCTTTTCTTTTCCTTTTTTTCTTTTTCCTTTCTTTCTTTTAACTTATTTTTTGCTTAATATTCGCTTATTGTTTTGCCTTTGACTTTTTTCTTCTCTTTTTTTTTCTTTAAGCTTCATTTTTTTTTCTATATTTCTCTCGTTCCCAAACCTGAGCTCCTTGTATTCTTGCAGACGTCAACCAACGGCGCCATAACCCTTCTTTCTTTCTTTCTTTTTTCTTTCTTTCTTTCCTGATTTTTTCTTTCTTCACGTTACTTTTTCTTTCTTCCTTTTTACTGATATTTTTCTTCTTTCCTTCTTTCTAGTTACCTTCACGTTTTCTTGTATTCTTTCTTTTCTTTCTGGTACTTTCCGTCTATTTTTTTAATTCCCTTTTTTATTTCGTTCCTCTTTTTTTTTCTTCTTTTCTTTCTTTCTTTCTTTCTTTTTTTCTTTACTTTACTTTTTCTTTCTTCCTTTTTACTGATATTTTTCTCATTCACAAATTTCGATTACTGCCGCACATCATTCCTCCCTTCATTTTTCATTTAATTTCTCTATTCCTTCTTTCTGTCCTTCATTTCTTCTTTCCTTCTTTCTAGTTTCCTTCAAATTTTCTTATATTCTTTCTTTTCTTTCTAGTACTTTCCGTCTATTTTTTAAATTCCTTTTTTTCTTTTCTTTTTTCTTTCTTTTTCGTGATATTTTTCTCATTCTTAAATCACAACTTTCTTCAGCGCATCTACCACTCGCCTCTCTTTTTCTTTTCCACTTGAATTATTTAATTAATTTCGTTCTATCAATTCTTTGTTTTTCTTTCTTTCAACATTTTAATTTTCTTTTTCCTTTCTGCTTTTTTCTTTACTTTCTTTCTTTTTCACTCCTGTTTTTCTTTCCTTACTTTCTTTCCTCCTCTCTTTTTTCTTTCCTTTCTGTTTTCTTTCTTTTTTTCTCTCTTTTTTCTTTCTTTTCTGCTTTTTTCACCCCCTCTTTTTTCTTTCTTTCTCCTCTTCTTTTTTCTTTCCTTCTTGCTTTCTTTCTTTCCACCTCTCTTTTCCTTTCCTCCTCTCTTTTATCTTTCCTTTCTGCTTTCTTTCTTTCCACCTCTCTTTTTCTTTCCTCCTTTCTTTTTTCTTTCCTTTCTGCTTTCTTTCTTTTTTTCCTCTCCTTCTTCTTTCCTTTCTGCTTTCTTTCCTCTCCTTTTTTCCTTTCTTTCTTTCTTTCTTTCTTTCATTTATCTTTCATTTCTGCTTTCTTTCTTTCCTCCTCTCCTTTTCTTTCCTTCTTTTCACATCTCCTTTTTATTTATTTCTTTTTCTCGATATTCATTCCGTTCACAACACAATTTACTACACCCCAGCAATTCTTTCTTTCTTTCTTTCTTTCTTTCTTTCTTTCTTCTTTCCTTTCTGTTTCCTTTTCTCTTTTTTTCCCTTCTTTTTCCCGCTATTTTTCCCATTTGCAACACTCGATTTCCTACAACATAGAAACCGCTTACCATCGGCTTCGCCTACTTTCAACATTTTTTCGATTTTTACTGATGACGATGATTACAAGAACGGCAATTACTTCTAATTCTAATACAACCATTAACAATAACAGTCAAAAGAAGTCAATAATTATTTTATTCTTGATATCACGGGTAGCTCGTCAACATTTGAATGATTACATATATAAAGACATAACAAATTTTTTTTTTTAATCATTTCACCCCAAGCAAGGTGATAATGCCACTAGGACGCATGTTAGGCATACGGAGAGTATTGTAGTTATCAGGGAAGCAAGAAATCGGAAGGGAGTTTCACAGCTGGGAAGAGCAAGAAAAATAAACTGTTAGAATAGAATTGACAGTTGCATCTAGATAGTTCAACAGTAAAATGGCAAAACCTTGTTGCTAATCTAGTGGCAAGCTTAAATGCATGTGGTCTAGACAGTGGGGGAAAACGCACATCAGAACAGTTAGCATGAAAATATTTGCAGAAAAGACAGACGGAAGCCACGTCGCGTCTGTGAAAAAGTGACTGAAGTGGATATGCCAGGTTCGGATCGACTCTTTTTTATTTTTTTTATTTTTTGGGGAATTTTATTAAGAATCTCGATATATTAAGCAGGAACACCAGACCAGATGTGTAAGGATTAAGAAGATTCTAAATCGAAATCAATTTTAAAATCTGGAATTGAACATCAAGTATCGAACCAATAGAAAATAAACAAGTACAGGGTGACCCAAAAAAACGGGAACTTTTTAACAATCCAATAAAACCAAGAGTGATGGAAGAAAAATATTTTATTCATAGTATTGAAACCTTAAAACATGCCATTTAAGAAACAATGATGGAATTTTCATTTTTTTAAAATTACGTCCTGTAGATGGCGTCTTCCTGTACGAATGCATTCTTGAAATCTGCTGTTGAGATTCCTCATTGACTGCTGCAACATCTCAGCTAGGATACTGTGAATTTCATCTTGAATTCTAAATGGCGAAATGTTTACTTGCGCAAGGTCACTGTCTCGCAGTGTTGCCCCTTGCTCATGTCTGGCAATACGCACTTTAAGAATTCCCGTTTTTATGGGTCACCCTGCACATAATCCTCAAAGCAGACATCTTTGTTTTTATAAAATCTTTCAGAGGTTAAATATTTTAATATTCTATTCAATTTTCCTTTCATTTATCATCCTCTGTCTATATTTCTGAGATGAGGTATTGTAATTATTTGCTTTATTTACATTGTTCGGACTGTTGTCCTCATCTTTGTTGCCACATTCACAACGTTTCGGCCGTTGTACGCTCCAGTTTTCTTTAGGTGACTGGAATTTCTAACTGAACCTTTTATTTCGTCCATCGGGATAGATTGTTCTAGTTCCATGTGCCATGCCTCTTCCGGGTGTCTCAGTATCAGTTATCTCCCTTTAACACAAATCTCCAAGTTTTTGTTAACCTCTGCTGAAACCAGGTATTGAACGCACAACTCTTTTGTGTCAAGTCACAGGATTCAGCCAACGCTTTTATCCACTGGGCCGTGTGTCTTTCATTCTCTTCGCCATTATTTCTCTGGCGCTGGTTTAAGTAATGAATGCGAGAAAAACTGACACAATAAAGAGGGACAGACAGAAAACAACTACTATTATAGCAAAATCAGGCGAAAGAAAGAAAAGAGAGACAAAAACGAAAGTAAAACATCCTATAAAATAAGTTGACCGGTCATTGTTCCTTTCTCGTCAGAACTCAATCGAGGACATTTAAATAGAGTACAAAAAAAACAAAACAAACAAACAAAAAACAAGAAAAAAAAAACAAAAAAAAATTTCTTTTCGAGATAATAATGATTTAGTGATACAAGTCTTACTAATTAACCCATACTTGGGGGGAGAAGAGATAGGTTCATACCTAATTACAATTTGATGAACAAAGAAATCATAATGTGGATATAAAGTGAGGGATCAATTCTATACTACAATCAATATATAAACTGATCCCTCATTTTGTGACCGAGGTATCTCTTTACGTTTGTATTGCATAGAATGTAAATAAATCTAAAAAACATGCCTGTGCAGCCAATCAGCATTGTATTGATTGATCGATTTCTTTTCTACGGCTTATCGACCAACCCTTTGTAGGTTATTTAAAGCAAGAAAAGATTTCAAGATTAGAATAATGTTTATTTAAATCACTAATGATTTACTGATACAAGTCTTACTAATTAACCCATAGCTGGGGGTAGATTCAACTAATCAGAATTTGATAAACAAACAAAAAAATTATAATGTGGATATAAAGTCAGGGATCAATTCTATATTACAATCATTATATAAATTGATCCCTCACTTTGTGGCCAATGTACTTTCTATACATTTATATTCCAGAGAATGTAAATAATTCTAAAAGACATGCCCGTGTAGCTAATCAGTATTTGATTAATTGATTCGTTTTCAACGGTTTATCAAACCTTTTCAGGTTATTTATAGCCAGAAAATAATTTTAGAATTGTTATTTCGAGATTTGGTGATATATGTTTTACTAATTAACCCATATCTGGGAGGGAGAGGTGGCTTCATACATTTCTCAATGATATATACGCGTAACTGAATATAACGAACCCAACTGAAATTGGAACTCGGCTCTCCGATTAACATTTCCGAGCCATTATCCATTACACCATCCGCACACCCAAGCTTAAAGTGCCTGGTATTCCCAAGGAAACTCGAGGAAAGAAAATACACACGTATCAATAATATATTGATAAGGATATATTTAATTCCTAACAAACAATCTTTTTGTTTGCATAAGGATGGTTATTTTGACTTAATATAAATTGCTTTTATGTTACACTGGCAGCATGGCCCGGCGTTGCCCGTGCTTGATTCAAAAATCGTACGACTCATACAGCAATCGCTATCACCTGACTTAAAATATTTTTGCCCTTCCTTGCCTTTAAAGGAGTTCCCTTTGCCGTGCTGATGTTGCTACATGCCTTACTTCTTGCCTATCTCACACTGCGAATTTTTTCCAAGCTCTATACTAAACATTAAATCTGTTACGAAAAAAAGAACTAAACAAAATGAACACAAAACGATCGGCTTTAAAAAAGGACTCGTAACTGGAAAAACCGAATGAAAAAAGAATGTTAACAACAAATACTTTTTCACACCCAAACCAATTCTGCGGAATCAGAATCAACGTTGAGTTTAAGCAAGCGAATGAGCCAATTGGAGTAAAGTGCCATGCAGATATAATTTTTCCCACTTGTGACGAATGCAGCTAATGATTTTTTTTTTTTTTTGCATGCTAGCATGCTAGTTAACATTCGTGTCAGTCAGCTGTTGGCTCTCACGCTGGGCAATAGAATCTTCCCGCCTCGTCGTGGCAGCCAGCTATTGGCTCTCACTCTGGCCAGTAGAAAATGGTCGCAAACTACATGAAAACTGCTGTAGAAGCATGAAAAATCGATTATTTCCACTATCGATGGGAGTTGGGAAATGCAAAGTCGGTCTTGGCCTTCCCGCTAACTTGGAGCATGTGCATGTAAATATTGGTGCAAATCCGTCGAAAATTGCGGCCGTGCATTCGTTACACACACAGAGATCCTGCCTTTTATAGATAGAGACTAGCTACTGAGGTAAGACTACTCAACATCTTACATTCAAGTCCCGTACACACCTTGAGCAGGTAGGGTGTGACAGATCTCACGTTAGGCATTGCTGGTGTTTTTTCCATAGTAAGTAGTAGATTTTTTTATGGGATGGAGCCATGCCTAACTTGTCTTTAATTCATTTTTGTCTTAGATTTTTCCCAACCAAGTCTAAAAGGCACAGCCTGTCCTGCTATTTACATATAGCTGGAGGAAGAAGAGATGGGCTCATGCCTTTCCCAAAGGTATTTGTGTGCGTGTGAATGCAATGAATTTGGCTTTAATTTGAACTCGATTTTTTATTCAGAGCCGACATACACCACCCGCACTTCCATCTTAAACTGTTATTGAAGAGAATTTTCCAACATGTACCAGCGTGTATGAGAATAGATCGACTGAATATTTTTCCCCCATTTTTTTTTCTTTTTTTTTTTATCAAAATTTCAATTTCACTGGTTCTGTTTTAAGTAATGAATTAAATCAATAAAATATGTTGAATGTATTCGAACAATATGTTTAAATGAAAAATGAGTCAATAAAATGCGTAAAATGTATTCCAATAATATGTTTATGTGATAAAATGAATCAATAAAATACGTTTAATGCATTGCAAAAATATTTATATGAAACTTAATCATTTTGATTTTTGCAAATGCAAAAAAAAATAGTCACAATTTACGAAAGGTTTATGAAATATAAATATGGAATCGTTTAGAATAAAAAAAAATGCTTTTTCTGTTACTCGTGGGATCATAAACAGGCTTTGTTAAATAAACATCTCAGTGAAATAATTACTTATATATTCAAATACACACATATACCGCGGGTAACAGCAAAATTGTTCAAATCGTGTAATAGCAAAATTGTCCAATTGTTAGATTAAACTTTGAATCTTAGAAATGATTAAAGATATCATACTGGAATTCTTCAAATTTTTTGTAACACTATTAAACTCTAATTTGAGCAATAAGAATTTATAATTACTCTCCAAGCTTAAAAGAAGAATCGTGATGAAATCGATCATAAACGAAAATGACATGTTCATCATTAATTAATCACAGCTAAGGATCAGAAACTTATGAAGGATGGAAATAAAGTTAAAATATATATATATATAATTCCAGGATCATTTTCCAACATATTCAAGATGATCTTCGTCCTAACTTTCTGTCCTGGAGTAACAAGGTGCCTCACAAGTTTCACTTATGCTATCATTTTAAGATCTTTTTTCTCTACTCATTGGACTGTCATAGCTGAAACTTCTCTCTCGCGTACAAAACGACTTATTGATAAAATAGTATCTTTTCTAATTGATCTCTTTAGCTGTAAGTTGGAATGATGATCCCTCTTCCTGTTGTGACCTCCTGATCCTGTTTTCCTCTCTACTGTTCCCCCCTTTTTTTTAACATATTCACCGTTCTCTTGATGGTTCTTGAATGGAATTTGAAGATGGAATCCAGGGTATAAGTGTTGGTACCAACACAGAAGACCTGAATGATTTTTCTTCTCACTA